TAGAGATGTGTAGTTCGTGAACGAATAGTTGAAAAGAACTATTCACTTCCAACGAACTGAACGAACTGTTTCATCATTCTTTCAATGTATAGTTCGTTTTGAACTGCGAACGTGCGCGTGCGTCTAGCTAGATTATACTATGTTCATAGGTTGAAACCGAAACCAACCGGTGATGCGATGAGGATCGTGCTACTGTCGCTGGCTACTGGAGATTTAAGAATTGAGAGATGTATAGTTCGTGAACGATTCATTTCGAACAAATTATTTCAGTATTCTAAAAACAAACCATTGCCGCTGCCGCTGTCAGGTGTCGATGCTGAGCTGAGCAGCTCATTCGTGGTGGGGAAGATAGGTAGTAAAATTGAGTCAAGGCAAAAGAACTACAGTTCATTTCAAACTGTAAAAATGAACTATTCTTTGAAGTGAGTAGTTCACAAATGAACTATTCAGCAAAGTGAACTGCAACGCCCATCTCTAGTTAAGTTACGACTAAGTTAGGACTAATACTTTTTTATAAACCAACCATTACCAATAAAATTATAAGAAAATGGCTAATGTAATATCGCTAATATGGTCTTGTTCTTTTATTCATCACTTCGATGTGATGGATTCTGTACAGCCAATAAGAGATCAGAATTTTTTAAACAGACCAATCGTAATACATCGATGGAATTCATGGCATTAAAACCAGGAATAAAAGAACACGGCCAATCTTTAATTTTACATGTACCAACCTCAAAAAATTTTTGCGGGAATTATGAATGCAGCAAATAATTCCGCTCATGCGCATACAACTTTTCAATGTTGAAAAGTGTCCTCAGGACATATCAACTTTTCACGAAATGTCCAGCTGACATGTCCGCGGCACATCTCTAAAAAAAATTTATCGATTTTCACCAATTCTTTTCACTTATTTAAAAAAAAAACATTAAAATTTGATATCATCCCAATTGTTGGTTCATGTTCATTGTAACTTCATAAACACACTTTCAATTTTCATAACGATCGTGTTCCTGTGAATTTAAAAAATGTCATTTCGAGAAAAAAGCGTGTAAAGATTTCCGAAAACTACAAATTTGAGAAAGTTGTTAATAATATATCGGGTGTCCGGTAAATAAGGGATACCCTTTTATCCGTGGATGAGGGACCCTAAAGTCGTTCAGAAAATCGAGTTTTGTGTTAGTACAAAGTCCCTTCGTTTTTCAGTTATTTCGTTTTTTTTTTTCGAAATTTCCGCCATAGGTTACTTATTGGTCACTACGGCCACAAGAGAACGTATTACCTTTCAGTTATTATTTAATTTTAATTAAAAATTACAGTAACTGTTCAAATTGTCTACCGCCTTCCCTGACGCTGGCTCTAAACCTTATGAATGGCCCTTCGGAGCTTTCGTTTGTTTCTTCGCTAACTAACTAACGTAAAATTTAAGTTTAAGATTTTTTTTGAACAAGAACTACTATTGCTAGTCAAAAATTCTGATAAGCATCTGATAATAACACAATTCAAGAATATTACGCAAAATAACTGAAAGATAATAAGTTCTCTTAAAATTTTGATAGCCTGAATACTAACAATTTATGTAATAAAAAAAAATCCGTTTTTTTCGGAACCGTCTAATGTGATTTTCTCCCTAAGCTGTATTTTGTGTTTTCATACAATATACTTTAAATAGTATTATATGAAAAGTTCATATTATGTATTATATTTATTAAGAAAGTTGCACAAATAATTATAGGACTCATAACACTAATAAGAATAATAATCTAAATTCATCAAATTTTTCAAACTTCACATCAACAAACGTACATACCAACCCTAGATTAGAAAAGTATATACCAACATTCTCCGATGAAAATGTTTATAATTTGCATATTTATATTTACTTCATTTAATTTTAAACTGATCATTTGTGCCTTTTCATTTAAATACACTCTCTATAAATAATCTTATGCAACCCTCTTATTAGTTTTGTATAGGAGATTGCATATTGTTTTTGACGAAATTACAAAATTTAAATTATATTTTCATATTTTCGAATTTCCTAGCGGAGTAGTTGTATACAGTAGCATCTATTCTGTTACATAGTTTTTTTAGAGTTAGATTTATTCGTAGGAGCACAACTTTAAACATCGATAGTACAAATAGAAATATTTCCGAACGCATCAAAATTTTGACACTGACCTCTTCTTGATTCCTGTTCCTAACCTTAAAATATAACCTACATGAAATGTTTTTGAAATTATTCCAGCTGTTAAACAAATTTCCACCTTTGACCCTCAACAGATACACCCACAAGTATATTTTCAAAATGGATAAGGCCTATTTACGCCATTTAGGTGATAACGAACAATTTCAAATTACATTTAAGTACACAAACGAAGTGTTAAAGGTGAACAGACAGTTCAATTTTAATAGAAAACTATCTGAAACCGTCGAGACATTCCTATCGCGGGTGGCAACAAATGTGGAGAAAGCCTTGAACAAGAAGAACAAGAAAAGAAAGGCAGATGAGGACAACGGTGGCAATAGTACAGTGCGAGCTACATTATTTTTAAACGATTCAGAGTTGCCAAGGGAAACAGTGTGTAGCGATATTTTTCAGCCTGGTAATAACGTGGTACTAAAAATTTTGAGCCAGGAGTATCAGGTAATAATTAATTCACCCTGGGTAGATGGAATAGCGTTACCGACTTCGATATTGGCCACGTTTCCAGTATATCCATCAAAGTTTGAAACAGTTTTTACTGATAAAGATTTATCAGTGTTCACATGGTTCAAGTCGAAGAATCTTACAGAATGGACCACTGTCGGTAATAGTTACATTTTAACTCCAAGTAATGAAGAAATAGATCATTACTTAAAACTAAGTTGCGTACCAAATAACTCCGAGTTTGAAGGTCCAGAAATTGAAGCAGTTTCTACTTGTAGAGTTGAAGCAAGCCCTGGATTGTGTCCGTTTGAAATTAGACATAAATTTACAGCTCAACGAGCCAAAGGGAAAGAGTAGGTGAAGTAAAAATGGAAAGTTAAAGATTTCAGAGTTATGTAGTTTTTTTGTGCAGGTTTCGAGTGGTAACGTACAACATTTTAGCTGATTTGTATTGTGATTCCGATTACACTAGGGAAGTACTTCATCCCTATTGTCCTGCATATGCTTTAAAGATTGATTATAGAAAGCAACTCATATTAAAGGAACTCATAGGTAGATATTTTTCCTTTAAAGTAAATGAATATTAAAAATTTAATATTTTAGGCTATAATGCCGATATAATCTGCTTGCAAGAAGTGGACAGAAAGGTGTTTAATTACGATTTGCAACCAACTCTAGACCATCTAGGCTATGAAAGTTACTTCTCACTAAAAGGTGGTGAGGTGGCTGAAGGGTTGGCATTTTTTTTCAATAAGAATCGATTTAAGAAATCGCAGTGTCACTACTTAGTTTTTTCAGAACATATAAACAGCGATCCTCAGTTTGCAGATATCTGGGAGAAAATTGCGAAGAACAGTCAGCTGAGTGAGAGAATTTTAGGCAGGACAACTACGCTGCAAGTCAATGTAGTTGAATCGTTAGAGTATGACGAAATTTTAGTGGTTGCTAATACTCACTTGTATTTCCACCCTGACGCAGATCACATAAGGTTGTTACATGGAGGGCTCTGTATAAGATACTTGGAAAATTTTGTTAATAAATTAAAGCAAGAGGTATGTTCTATTGCATCAAAATAATTATGAATAATTTTTTTAAAAAAATTTTTTTAGATAACAGGTAAAAGAATATCCTTAATCTTTTGTGGCGACTTCAACAGTGTCCCAGAATGTGGAATATATAAATTATACACTACCGGATCTGTACCTAAAGACTTCATTGACTACTCTAGTAGTAAGTACCTGACTTTAAGGCCGATGAAAGTTTGACTAATCGTCCCTTTCTTAGATATGGAAGAATCGGTTCAGGATGTTGAGTTAACACAGAATTTTCAACTCGATAGTGCTTGCGGAACACCAAAGTACACTAATTTTACAGCCGGTTTCGCCGATTGTCTGGATTATATTTATTACGAAAAAAGTAACTTGGCAGTGTCACAAGTGGTGCCTTTGCCTAGTCATGAAGAAGTAACGCAGCACACTGCGTTGCCCAGTATAGTATTCCCGTCAGATCACATGTCGTTGGTGTCTGATTTGAGGTGGTTATGACAAAAGAATTGGACGTAAAATGTATTTAATTTCAGTAAGAACTTTTTCACACGTATTAAAATAAAGAAATGTGAAGTAAATTTATTTATTTATTTATTTGAATGGGTCCTGTTCAAATTTCATTAAATTGGATTGTGATCGAATTATGAATTTGTGAAAAGCTATTGGAAATGTGTAAACAAAGTAAAAATTAAAATAAAACATTTCTGAGTGATCATTGTTTCTATTAACGATTGTGGCCATGGATATTCGATTTGAGGAGGAGTACACTCAGTACGCCAACGGGAAATTTTACATGTGTTAGGCTGGAATGCATTTTACCAAATTTTTCTCCAGATCTTCTAGATTTTTTTTTTCAATTGAGTTATTTCCATCCCGGGAGCATAACGAACAAAACAAAGAATCAACCAAGTATGTCGTTCCTATCATCAGTCATGATCGAGAGTGCATAGAAAATTAATGTTTTTTATATTTCTTATTGAATTTTCCGACTTTCGTTTGTTATTGTCCCAAATTTTTTATTTCCTGAAAACTTTTCCAGGATCGCAACGAACAAAACAAACAAAGAATTATGCGTATCCATTGTTTGAATCGTCAGTTATGGTCTTGAGTTAATAAAGAAATACCATAGAAAAGAGCACTTTTCAGTTTTTCCAGAATTTTCTGGGCAACTTTTTCAATTTTTTTTCCCTAAAAAATCTTAATCGGATTATTACAAACATTTAAAAAAAAAATAGCAAAATCGATCCGGTCATTTTCAAGTGATACGTTTACCAATCAATGGCAGTTAATTTTTATTTATATAGATATATTTAGGAAGTTCCAGAAATAAGTGCCAAAATTTTAACAGCACACTTTATTTAAAAAAAACTATAATAAGCTGCCTGAATTAAAGAAATATTTAAGTAATGTATATAAATGTCTTATAGACGATAATTATAATACTAAGTAATAACTTTTTAATGTTGAATTATTTTGTTAGCCTAAATAGTAAATACTAGTACCATTTAGACCTCATATTTATGCTTTTTTTAAACATTATTATCTCAACTAAGTGTTTTGACTTATGCTCTGATAATAGGTAATAAAAATTTAAAGTTTTAAAATTTTGCACTTATTTCTGGTACATCCTGTACATTTCAGCTGCTGAAAATATGTTTTATAACAGTTTCTGTGAATTAGAGGTATTATAGTGAATATGATAACAAGAGTTCTGTTGGTTTTTCAAATGAAAGTTCTTCATTTGCAATTTACATATAATGTGCATGTTTTATCATGTATAATGAGTTTTTAAAAACAATGAAGTGATAATACAAATTAATATTTAATATTTAGAATTGCACTCGATGACTCGCTCATCAATTTCAATGAAAATAACGTTTAGGATGATTTTTTTTAAATATTTTGATAATAAAAGGGTAAAAAAATTAATATGAACTTATGTCTTAATTAAGCAGTTTAGTTTTCGAGATACTGGGTGTTGTTAACAATAGGACTTGGGCTGGTAACAAATAAAACACAGTTTACTTTGTTTATACAGGGTGCGACATTAGTGATAGATATTAAGATATCAAAAAAAAGTTATTTACAAAAATTGTAACCAACTTAAAACTTATTATGTATTACCAGGGTGAACCAAACATACTATTTTTTAAATGGGACACCTTATATATTATTTCAAATTTAGATTAAGCTCATCTCTCCCATGCTTCCAATATAGGGTTTAGTTATGTTATACAGGGTATTTCAAATCTTATGGTCAATTGTATAAGAGAATCATTTCCATTTCAGTGACCTGTATATACCCTAAACAGAACAACTTAACAATAAATTTTTGCAGGTATAACTTCTTGATATTTCTTTATTATTGCAACAGTTGAATAATATAGGGCAAGCCAAAACTCGAGCACATAATTTTTTTGAAACTTTATTTTTGTTGTTAAATGCAGTGGCGTAGCGTGCCTTGGAGGGGCCCTGTATCAAAATTAGTTGGGGGGCCCAAATGAAGGGTAAAGATTTCTCACAAAAGAAAGAAAAATGCTTGCATTAAATTAAAATAAATATTTATTGATTATAAGTTATCGCTTCCTCGTAGAAATTGAGCTAGCCAAACAATTCAAATTAAATATACACTTTTCTTGCCTTTTTTTCGGCAAATTGATTTATTAAATCATCTATAGCTGAAGACGATTTCAGTTTTTCTAAAATTTCTGCCTCTATAGACAATAGTGACAAGTCTGATAGCCGTTCCTGCCCCATCGAAGTCCTTAGGTAATTTTTTATCAGTTTTAATTTTGAAAAACTTCTTTCAGCTGTTGCGGTTGTAACTGGAAGGGTCAAGAATAGAAAGCATGCTGTTATTACCTCCGGAAAACTGGATGCAAGGCTATTGAATTTTATCAGCAATAATTCCATGAGTTCCTTGATGGAATGAATTTTTTGAATTTCAGATTTTAAGCATGTTTTCAGAGCAATTAATTGTTCATAAAGATTAACTGAGATGTCTTTACTGTATTTAGCCGACAATTTTCCGGAAGCGTTTTTTATAACTTCGTTTGAAGAAGATAGGAGTTTCTCCGGTTGTAATACTTCGAACGTATTACTTAGGTCACAAAGGCTCTGAAATCTTTGTTTAGTTTGGGAAATTAATATATCTAAACAGCAATAGTATACATTGACTTTGAAATATGATTCCGGGTCTGAAATTCTCTCATCTTGTGATAACTCATCAAAAAAACGCTTCGTTATCTTTCGCCTTTTATTTTTAAAAACAGTTGTTACCCCCCACTCTTTTGCTAAATCTTTGGACTCATTTAGCAAACCATTGAATGAATTCTGATTTCTTATTTCGCTCAGTCTATTCAAAAGATTACTTAATAAAATACTAGCTTTCTGTAAGTCATTATTTTCATGCTGTAGAGCTTTAGAAACTGGATTAATGATTTCAAATAGTGAAGAAAAAAATGTGACAAGCACTAAGAAATCATAACTCTCTAAAATGTTAATTATATTTTTACATTCTTCACGTTCATCTTTTTTAGTGGAAATTAAATTTAGTTGGTACAAAGTTTTCATGATTAATAAATAATTTTTCTTTATCGCTAATAAAGCGTCGTTCTTTGAAGACCATCTAGTAGGACATACCTTTTTAAGGGTAATTTTATATTTTTCAGATGAATCGTTACTCAACATTGCCCAGCGTTTTATACTATTGCTAAAAAAAGTATATATTTTTTCTAAATTATCGAAAAAATTCGACACTTCAATAACATGTTTCGCAGCATCGTTTAAAATTAAATTTAATGCGTGTGCAGAACAATGAACATAATCGGCATTCGGGGCATGCTCTTTTATAAGGGCTTGTAATCCTCCATATACACCCGACATAACATTTGCTCCATCGTAACCCTGTCCTCTACATTTAGACAAATCAATTCTATATTCTTTAATCGTATTTAAAATTTCAGTTTTAAGGCCATCTGCACTGCAATCGGATACTGCTATAAACCCCAAAAAGGACTCACAGATTTTTAATTCTTTAGGTACATTATCATCATTTTCTGTTATCCAGATGTACCGAAAAACTACAGAAAGTTGGTCAATTTTTGACAAGTCTTGTGTTGTATCCAAAATAATTGCCAGAAATGGAGCTTTTTTAATTTCTAAAATAATATTATTCCTAACTGCGGTACCAAGCAAATTTATAATTTCATTTTGAATCGTAGGGCTTAAATAATTTATTTCGCCTTTCGGTTTTAAAAGAAGTTCTTTTAAAATAGGATCATAATTAGATAGTAAACGTAAAATTGACATAAAATTTCCAGAATCAGAATCATGGCCTCTTAAAGATAGATTACATGATGCTAAAGTAATTATAACATTAATTATACGATGCAATACATCTCTCCAGAATGTAATTTTACTATTGATTTCACTTTGCAATAAAGTATCGATGGTATTTCCTTGTAACCAATCATTATAAGATAGGGATGCATTAATATGCTGCTGTGAGTTTTCATGGTCAAATATACATTGCGAAAAATTGCTTCTAACGGAAACACCGTTAACCCATGCAGAGGAGTAGGATTTGCTTTGACGATTTGCTAATAACCAACAGAAGTGGCAATACGGCTTGTTTAAAACATTAGAATAACATAGCCACGGTCTTGGAATTTTTATGCCAGCCTTATTTAAATATGAATAATGATAGGCCGAAAAACATCGCTTTGTTTCTGAATCTTTTGGAAACGGTCCTTGTGGTTTAAATGGACCCAATTTAAAAATTATTTTTCGTTCGCATTCAGTTGGACTGTCACCAAAATTTCCTCTATCTGACGAAATTATATTATGAAATTCTTCAGACTCCTTAGAATCATCGATTTGGGTTTCTTCTATTTCCGGATGGACATCTAATGGAGAATGTGCTTCAGAAGAATCTAAAAATATAATTGAATAAAATTAATACAGTAAAGATTTTTTTTAATTATTCGAAACTAAAGGACTAAAACTAATGTTTAGATCAATTAAAAATATATATGTTAAATAACCTACGATACGTAAGGTTACGAGTATTTGGTCAAAAATTCGGAATTTATATTTTTTTGTGGGCGACAGAACCTAAAAATCTTAAAGTGCTAAATTATCTATTCTCCCAGCATTATGAGAAAAATGGCTTTGAGAGTAATAATCAACTACTAATGGAGAATATCAAAACATAATTCTTATTATTGCTCGTTACAATACGTGATCAGGTATTTTCATGTATTAAAGGTTGCCATTGTTCTTTTAAAAAACAAAACCCTTCGCTACTGGTAGATAAATAGGTAGTATATTACTTACCATTGCAATCTAAATCACTCACAGAAGCTGATTGCTGAAAAAATGAAGAAATTTTGGGAATTTTTTTTATAACCTCCTCCCTTTTCTGTTTACTTTTTCTTTTCATAGCTCCACTGGGATAATCTCTTTTCCTTTCACTCATTCTTTTCACAAATCAAACTAATTAACCAATAAATAATCAGAAGAACAAGATTGTATTGTATTACAATGTAATAACGTTTGAACCGGAATGAAATAAAACGCGTAAATATTGCTCTCCGTGGTTTCTCATTATACATCGGTTATTGCGGGATTCCCCCGTGATGTAGGATGTTGCCAACTTTTGGCACACGCTTAACCCGGGAAAAAAAGAGATTGCTTTTTTTGACTTTTGTCATTTCTGAAGTGAAAACTCTATAGGCACGTATGACAGATTTTTATATGTTTTTTCCCGGGAAGCACGAGATTAAGTGACATTGTGGATAACATTTTACTAATTTTTGCTTACACACGTTAGGGGCCCCTGTAGCCCGGGGACCCCGTATCATTGATACGGCTGATACGGCGGTAGCTACGCCCCTGGTTAAATGGTAAATATCTCAGAAATTAATGATATATGGGAATGCATTATAAAAATGAAAGAACATAAAGTGTATTTTCAGTTTTTAAAATAAAATAAAATTGAGAAAATTATGTGCTCGAGTTTTGGCTCGGCCTATATTCAACTGTTGCAATAATAAAGAAATAGTACTTTCTCGTAAAACTATACCAATATCAAAAAGTTATGCCTGCAAACAATTATTGTTAAGTTGTTACAATTGACCATAACTTTTGAAATACCCTGTATAACATAATTAAACTCTATATTGGAAGCATGGGAGAGATGAGCTTAATCTAAATTTGAAATAATATATAGGGTGTCACATTTAGAAAATAGTATGTTCAGTTCACCCTGATAATACGTAACACTCTGTATATACGAAAATGCGCAGTTTTAAGTTGGCTACAAATTTTGTATATAACTTTTTTTAATATGTTCTATAATAACAGAGATATCGTACTTCGACGCACAAATGCCGCACCCTGTATATATGTAATTATGTTAACCAATGGTGGAAATATTGCAAGATAACATCACTAACAACCTCACAATATCAATATCTTTGAATACTTTGGAAACTCAATAGGTTCATTTGGTTCGCAATGAATAGAGGTAAGTAAAGTACATTGTAAAGAAAAGAGATCTTTTCATTTTATTCAAAAAACGTTTTATTTCTGATTATAGTTTTAATTTGTCTAAAAACAAGCTAATAAAATATAACTTTTTGTTATAAATGCAAATTCAATTACAATTCAATAATTAATAACTTTGCTGTCACTAACACTAATGATTTTTTTCTTATTTTTTTATGGTTACATTATATTTTTTAAATTGTATTTACTACAAAAAAATTCTGTACAAGTTTTTAAATACCTATGCTTATTTGCGGAATTCTATATATTGTAAACAGTGAAAATTCGAGTGTTGTGTCAGCTTCAGATTCATATTCAAAACACTCGAAAACAGGGAGTAGGCAAAATTTTATGCAAATTTGAGTTTCGCATTATAGAAATAATTATTTCTTTTTTTAACCTCCCCCTTTATTATAAAATTCATAATTAAACCTTTAATTTATATTTTAGTATTTGGTATATTTATTTATTTTCTTCCGATACCCTTGTGATACATCACTGCATTCGAACTCAAACACAGTGCCTCGTCTTCGTGCCTTTCCGCACTCAATCGCGGCACTGACCAGCACGAACGGCGGCTTTTTCGTTTTTCCTTCAGTTCTGTCCCGACCGTGAGAGGAGTATCGTTGCGCGTCGCCTCAACCATTTGTTTATGTTCTCCGCGTGCTTTTCTCTCAGCATCTCCTAGACCGTCTCGGTGATGAATGAATCTTGGATGCTCTAACCCCGAGGAATAAAGTGCAGTGACAAAATGTTGTGTATTCTCGTTCCCCTGCTGTTTCTGTGCGATCTTTCGGCGGCCATGCAACACGGCACCCGGGTGACGGAGTCGGAGGACGCCATACCGCCTCACGGGAAGTGTCAGCACATCACCGTCCCCGTCTGCAACGGCATCGCCTACAACAAGACTATAATGCCCAATCTTTTGGGGCACCAGACCCAGGAGGAGGCCGGGTTGGAGGTCCACCAGTACTTCCCCCTCGTGAAGATTAATTGCAGCGCCCAGCTTCAGTTTTTCTTGTGTTCGGTGTTCGTGCCAGTTTGTACTATCCTAGACCACCCTCTGCCTCCGTGCAGGTCTCTGTGTTTGTCCGCTAAGAACGGGTGTGAAGGCATAATGCAAAACTTCGGTTTCCAGTGGCCGGAGTCGTTGAATTGTGATGCTTACCCGGATAATTCTATGTCTGAGGAATTGTGTGTGGGTGTTAGTAAGCTCAACGTGCCTTCAAGCACCCCTAGTACGGATGTGGTGTCCAACAGCCACCCCATTACCAGATACAAGACCCCTTACCACGGCAGAGACTTCGGATTCGTTTGTCCAGAACAATTCAAGGTGCCTGAAATCTTGGAGTATTCTTTCAAAGTGGGTAACAAGGTGGAGAAGAACTGTGGAGCGCCGTGCCATAAGATGTTCTTCAGCGAGAACAAGCGTCAGTTCTCCAGAGTGTGGATAGGCACCTGGGCTATTCTCTGCACGGCGAGCTGTCTCTTCACCGTCTGCACCTTTCTCATAGACACAGACAGATTCCGATACCCAGAACGTCCCATCATTTTCCTCTCGGTTTGCTACATGATGGTGGCCATCGCGTACGTGATAGGGTTCTTAGCGGGCGACTCTATCTCCTGCAGGGAGCCCTATCCTTCTAAGCACGGCATCATGACGGTGAGCACCATTACCCAGGGCACCAAGTACGAGTTGTGTACCATCCTCTTCATGGTGCTGTACTTCTTCAGCATGGCTTCCAGTATTTGGTGGGTAGTGTTGACTTTGACGTGGTTTCTGGCGGCTGGATTGAAGTGGGGCCATGAAGCCATCGAGGCGAATTCGCAGTATTTTCATCTCGCTGCCTGGGCCATCCCGGCGGTGAAGACTATCAGCATCTTGGCGATGGGAAAAGTTGACGGTGAGTTGACATTAGAATAACAAATTAGTAGAAAGGTGTACCAAGGATGCCTACGCTTACAAAAACTTCAAATGTGTACAGTGAGTTACTAAAATGTTTGGCCAATTTTTAATGGCGGATTCTTTGTTATCAAAAAAAGTTCCAAAAAATTCGTTTTTAAACTGTAAGAGAACGGCTGAAGCGATTTCGAATAAATACTAAAATTCGCTACCAATCACCAAAATTGGTCGAATTTATTGGTGCTAATTTGTTTTGCAAATTATAATAATATAATTCAACCAATTCATTGATCGATTCATTGGATCAAAAATTGGTAAACGCAAAACAAAATATTCAACTGTCATAAATTGAAATCACGATATGTCTGATGATGGGAGCTGACGTGCTAATTTCCGCAACAATTGCTGCAACGCAATGAGGAAACTAAACCGAGAATAAAACGTTAATTAATACCTACCACTAATTACCAAGCGTTCTTATTCTGTTTGTTTCTTTTTAGGAACGCAATAAACTTGATTAATAACATCGTAACACCGAACTCGTTTTGTAATCGACGAGCAACATAAATCTAAATACTGCTAATAAGTTTTAAGCTGACTAATCGGTATTAGGGTCGCTGACGATTCTCTATAAACATAACCAAATATTTTGAAAATGCGGTTTCTCTGTGAAATGTGAAACTGTACACTGTGCAGATGTTATACCTACGTGTGTGGAACATAATTTACTATTTTCGAAACCTTCCATAGATTTTGTTTCAACTGTTTGAATTATCCAAAATAAAAACAAAAAATTATATTTCTAACTAAATATTACCAATTAAAACATTGATATATTGAAAATTACCAAATAATGTAATCATCAAGTAAATACCTTGCATTCTTGATGTTCTATTGACCGAGCTTTTGACTAATCGCCTAAGAAACATCCATTATGAACAGATATACATTTTTGTTTCCAAAATACAAATACAAAGAAGTTTAAGTGTGAACTGTGAAGTAATATTTTCAAAAATATCTCGCAAAACAAGTATTGTTTAAGTTTTGAATTGCTACCATAAAAATTCCGAGCAAAAAAGGTGTCAGTAAATTAACAAATTAGCACATAATATAAACTAGAATTAATTGCATTTTACGATATATTTAAGTAGTAGGTATTATTTAGAAATAATAAAAAGGCATAGACTAGCCTACTAGAATAAAAATTCGTTGCCTTACAAGCACGCCAACCAGTGGCAGAGATACAAAACAAAAAAAAATTGTTTTTTTTAAGGGAATGTGGCTCCTTAACAGAATAAAAATTTCTATGGCAATGATGTTTGAATTTCTCATTTTTGCTATATTTCATAGCAAATACTATGATTTTTTTGTAACACAACAGAAATTTTAGAATTATTTTCATTTATTTAATAAAAAAATAACTCATTTTTCGAATAAGATGAAAGAAATCTTCTTTCTTAAAAATAGCATCGTCAAAATTTAAATTCAGTTATTTGTTTTTCAAAATACTCAGTAGCGTCGAAATTCTGAAACCTTTAGCGACAATATATCCTACTATTTCCGACCTATTTCACGTATATTTACATTACACTGAAGTCTGATTAGATAAATCATTGGCCATTGGCCTAGGTTTCGTCAGTTTATGTCGAACATCATCAGATATTTAAAAAAATGTCATTTGCAAGGGTGTAAAGCGTCTTCCGTTTTTATTTGAAAAACATAATTTTTTGAATAATAATTATTTTTTATTTAAATTAAGCCTTTGACAGTTGAATAAATAGAGAATAACACCAAAATTATACATTTTACAAAAAAAAAAAATGTGGAATAATTTTAAAATTAGAAATACAGGAAGAAATATGTAAATGGCAGTGGAGAGTGGGTTATAAACTTTTAGTTTTACAAATGGTTAGTTGCGACCGCTGGGCGCGGGCATGGTCCGATCGTCCCGTAGGTTGGACCTTTCTGCGTCGGAGACAAGTGGTTCGAGTATTCCACGATTCCGAGGGTGGGAGTGGGGAGGAAAGTGGTGAACTTCTACATTTTTATAAGGCTGATATGACACAAAAACGGATTTCCAAAATTTCGTTTTTTTTCAAATATTTCGAAAAGTAATCATGTCAGCCATGATTTTTTAGAGGCATAATATTAGTCCCCTGATTATGCAACTTTGCCCCCATTTAAGCTACTTCGTATCTCTTACCGTTTCCGAGATCCCTGTAGTGAAAAGCGAATTTGTAACAGCCTGTATGGTTTTCAATGGAAAGAAAAATTGTAATAATAACTTGGTAGTGTTAGTTCATACGGGTGTGAAGTTGGGGTTACTGTAGCGTTTTTGACGGCCTTCAGCGTTGTTTTCTGATTCTGAGGGAAGTGTTGAAAAAATATACACGGTGATATCTTTTATCGTTTTATCATTTTAAGCTAAATTTCGGTAAAATTGACATAATCTATAAATAAGATTTATTTATTTTTTTATTTATTTATCCAGGGTGTTCTGAAAGTCCGTCAGGAAACTCCGGAAGGTAATTCTACGGATTAAAATAATAACAGCATGTAATGAAAATTCTTTTCGAATTGTCAATTGTTTGCGAGTTATAGCTTGTTCAACTTGTTTTATTTTTCTATCTCTTTTTATACACTAGACATCAAAAAATGGTTTAAATATTGTACAGGTACTTTTTTGAAATAATCATTAGCGTCCGGATTTTTAATTTTCTGCAAAAATTCTCTGAAAAAAAATTGATATGCCAATGATTGTGTAACTTCTGATGGGGTATTGTATTTGAAGTGATTTTTTTTTAACAAAAAGATAAGTACTTCTTTTTTGTGAAACTAATGAATAATTTGGGAGGAGTTAGATTTATTCAACTATATTCTCGAATATATTAGAAAACTTATTTTAAATTTAAAAAAATCTATTAAAAAATTACTCATTACCTATTCGAATAAAATTGAAGACATTTTATTTCTTAGAAAGAACACCCGGAATTAAAGACACTTATCCAATCTCTAAATTATTCAGTGGCGTTGAAATTTTGGGGTTTTTAGTAACAGTATCTTCCAGCCTTTCCGCCACTGATATATTTAAGGAAATGTACTTAATGTATTTTTTTTATTTCGACACTATCAAAACAAAACGTTCTACTATGCCCATATAAAACTGTTTGCTTGAAATCATTTGTCCTCTCGTCTAGTATAGGGATTGAAGTGTATATCGCACGTAGGTAACGGAGATAAATTATAAGTGATTCTTCATTTTAAGCGGAAAAAAGCCTGCATAAATCTTTTTTCAGGGTAATCCCCTGAAACCTTTCGCGCGACCATAAACTGTTCAATAGTACCAAGTATAAATTATCGCCCGAGATACGACACACACTGTAAAGGTATGTGCGGAGGGACGTACCTACCATTAATAATAAACACCGTGTGACAAATTTTAACGGCCTCTAAATATTCCATGATGGCATTCGACGTGTCCGTCGGTGTGGTCATGAACCTCTCGCGTTGGCGGCTTTCTGCTTGATTGTATTCAATCGTATTTTTTTTTTTCGTGCCGATCTGTTATTGCCGAGCGAAGGATTCATTTGCCGTCAGTGGTTCCTTTGTTTATGTTTGTTTGTAAATATTTTGTTAAATATCATTCATTTTGCGCAATGTTGAATATTGGTCAGCCCTAGCACTCATGTTACAAAACTCAAATTATTTTCTTTCTTTCTAGTGGAAATTTTAGAATGGAGCAAAATATAGATACACGCAGTTACGTAAAACTGCAGAAACTGACATAGAAAGAAATCGAAAAAACAACAATTTTATAAAAATCACCTAATATTTTGTTGTAACGGGTGATAAAGAAACACATTAGAAAGTTATTCATTCATTAAACCGGAAATTAATTTCATGTGTACTTATTTTTTATACCTATATTTTTTAATTATGAATCTAACGAAATACCGGATGTTTAAAAATGTATAAAATGTATGTATAGAAAACGCCGCTGTAAAAAGCTATAACTCCGACATCTTGGTTTTATTTTGAAAAACAAAAGATGTCTCCAAGCACATTATAAAACTTCACTCATACATACACTAGTCACAAAAATTAAGGGATATTAAAGATATCCTAAATTTTTGGGTGATTTTCAAAGAGCTGTAACTTGGAGGGAAATTGTAGTAGAAAGGATAAAAAAAAAGGAAATTGAAGCTTTGATTTTCTAGTCTAATATCGAAAAAAATTCGAATTTTCACAAAGGACTTTTTGGGTGTTTTAAAAAAATTTTTTTTTTTTTAAATCATAGCACTTTAAAACTATTAGAGTTTCTTTAGGACACTTTGAGGTTGAGAAGTTATAATCAATATCCTTAGTTTATCTATTATTTGCAAAGTTATGCCTGAGGTTACGCCAAGTCATTCAAATATCTCCAATTATACAATTTGTTACCTTTTTCCAACCAATATATTCACTTCGAAATTTTTTTTACCAATAACTACGACTTGTAGAGAATTCATTGCGGTTTTCAAAACCCTATTTGAATTTTCTGTACAACCATTATTTCGCTAGTAATTGATTAATAACTTTTTTGCTTTGATCAACGATAACTCTGCGACAAATCTTCGTTCAGGGCTCCGGAACCGCTGAAATTGAAATGAATTAAATTATCTAAAAGAGCTTTACAGTGCAATTACCAAAAACAATTATTGAAGTACATAGACCTTTTTAAATACAATCCAAAATTTGGAAAATTTTATTTTCGTTAGATTTCTTATGATTATTCGAAAACCGCTGACGCTAAAAATTTTAAACTGTAAACCCGAAAATCTTGAATCTAGAATCTTGCCTTCAATTTCTTCCAAGGTTGACATGATATATATCAATGATATATATGTATATCCGATATATATCATTGATATCTATCACGATATTTATTCCTTGATATATATCATGATATTTATAAAAATTTAAATGATTCCTACTGGTTTAAAGTTGCTAAAACTGTTAACA